TAAAATAACACGAGACCACTTAAAGCAAGTAAAATCTTTATTGATCACGGTAAAGGCCCTAAGTACAATCTACTTGGTTGCTCTGAGTACCGACTGAGTGCGGTCGGGATTCTTTAACAACAACCTATCGATCGTCCAAAAGGTCCCCTACACTGTAGCTACTGTGGGTATTTATAGCCGCCGTGCCGGGGACAAGATTCCGGCCGCTCGGCATGTCTTCCACGTAGCCACCACGTGTCAACCTCCCGGGTGCCCTGCCTGTCAGCATAAAGAACCGCCACGCGTCCCTTCGCGTCCTTTTTGGCAGCTCTTCCGTCCAAGGGCTACCGCTCGGTGGTCGACACCAGCGTTCGGGCAACTTTCCGGCCATTCCCGACCGGGGTCTCCATGGAAAAAGCCCGACCTGCCACCTGCAAAGATCAGAAGAGAAAGACAAAGGCAAGTCGATCGTGGTGGAGCTTATGTCGGTCGGGATATTCCCTACCAGAAAATAATGCACCCATCTTTTGAGAAGCTAATAAAATAAATATGCATTCAAAGAGAAATTATGCACTCGAAGAGACAAACATATGCACCTGAATAAGGGAAAATATTCACTCAAAGAATGAAAAATGTGCACTCGAAGAAGGAAAATAATGCATTCAAAGACAAAAGAATATGAACTTACAAAGACAAAATTACCATAATACCATCACTTTTTTTTTAAAAAAAAATGTTCTCCATTCTGGACGATTGATCTGAACTTGATCAATGATTGAGATTTAACCCTAAATTCTTGTATGTGAAGTGTATACAATGTCTATGTAGGGTCAAGAGTAAATACCATAATATTAGCTCTAAAAAGTCTTTTATTCATTGTAGTTCTAGTATTTTGTAGAGAGAGTTACATATGAGAGAGAGAGAGAGAGAGAGAGAGAGAGAGAGTAGTGGAGTGGGAGGAGAAGAAGCCTTCCAAACTTGTGAGTCAATAACTCTTATATAGACCCAAAGTATTGACTGTGACTATTTGCCTTTGACCCGAACTGTTTGATTCGACCTGACTACAAAACGATGATGCGGAACGTAAAAGGATGCCAAACCCGTGAAATTAATATCAATTATATATTTGTTATTTTAACGGTGATGTTGACCCGCTGTTGACTACCCAAGAATACGTACAAGACGACCTATAGTCTTCGTGTGGCGCAAGGAGAGTGAAAACTAAGGAATTTATCAAAATGAATTATGTATTATCTCTCACTCATTTACTAGAATTTTGGAATTAAGTAATTTGTTGATCCTATAACGTCAGTCAATAAAATATGTTTCAAGAACACCTGGAATATCAACACTTCTCAAGACACGTGGAGGTCTTTTAATAAAGCAAACACTGCTTTGACATCATCCTTTGAGCTAGCATCTATACTATAAGAAAAATATTTGGTGTATTCCCATTTTAAACTCCCAACTTGTACTCCCTCTCACATATTCTTGATGTAGACATTTTTCTGTGGACCCACATAATGAAAATAACCAACTTTGCCACCTCAGGGAGTAGAATTTTGGAAGTCTATGTAGTAGAACTCATACCATAAATCTTTTTTTTTTTTTTTTTTGTAATTAATAATATCTGGGACCCTCTATACCAGCCGAGTTACACCATAAACAACTACATACGCCTATTTTACGTAGAAATCCCATAAATGGTTCCTTAAGAATCATTTGGATGTACTCATGTTTGACCCATGTTGTAATCCCAAAACAAGTGGATTGGCACCTTACAACACTACCCCCTTGAACCTATAAATCAAAAATCCCTTCACTAGAATTGTCGTTACGCCCAATTTACCTTTAAAGTAAGGCAAAATTGTACTACAAGTCTTGAACATTTCAGATTAAGAATATAAGAGGACCTATATTCTTCATGTAGTTCAAGGAGAAAGAAGGCTAAGGAGTTTATCAAAATGAATCGTGTACCACTCTCACTCATTTACTGAAATTTTGAGCTTAAGTAATCTATTGATCCTATAACGTCAACTAACATAATTCTGTTTCAAAAAGACCTTCTGAAATATCACCGCTTCTAAATATACATGATGGTTTTTTAACAGAGAGAATTTTAGAGAAAGAGAGATTGTAGAAGAAGAAGGAAGATTACTGTTTCATTAGTCAATGAGAGAAGCAGATTACAAGCATTTATACACAGAGCTATAACCACCCTTAACTATCAACTGCTAGCTATTCCTAACAGCCTCTAACAACTAACTGCTACTAACTGTATGATGCAACAGAAAGAAAGGAAAGGAAGCAGAGAACAGATGGTAACTGTGAGATCAATTATCTTGACTTCCTGATATCCCCCCGCAAGCTGGATTGTATAGATTGAGCAATCCAAGCTTGGAAATGTAGCTGTTGAATGATCCTGGGCAATGTGTTTTTGTAAAGGTGTCAGCTAACTGGTTTGTTGAGGCAACATGGAGGAGTTTGATGATGCCTTTACTCAGTTTCTCTCTGACCAGGTGGCAATCCAACTCAATGTGCTTGGTACGCTCATGGAACACTGGATTTTCAGCAATAGCAATTGCTGATTTACTGTCACAATAAACAACTGCAGGAGTGTTGTGTGTTACTCCAAGTTCTTTGAGCAAATAGATTAGCCACTGGACCTCACAGGTAGTTGCTGCTAGTGCTCTATATTCAGCTTCTGAGGATGACTTAGAGATAGTAGGCTGTTTCTTTGACTTCCAAGCTATTAAGGCCTGGCTTAGAAACACACAAAATCCAGTAACAGATCTCCTTGTATCAACACAGGCTCCCCAATTTGAGTCTGAGAAAGCCTTTAGTTGTAGGTCAGATGAAGAGGGAAAGAGCAAACCCTGTCCTGGAGCAGCTTTAATATACCTTAGGAGCCTGTGAGCAGCTTGCATATGTAAACTGGTAGGCTTATCAAGGAATTGAGATAACAGCTGAGTTGCAAAACTGATGTCTGGCCTGGTTATGGTAAGGTAGAGCAGCTTGCCTACAATCTTTCTATACTGAGTGTTGTCATCAAGAGGTTCACCTTCAGTTTTACTCAACTTATGAGATGGAACAGTGGGACTGTAAACAAGTTTGGAATTTGTGAATCCTGTGTCATTAAGCAGCTCAATAGCATATTTTCTTTGGCAGACAAGAATCCCTTTCTGTTGTCTGGCCACTTCCAGACCCAAGAAGTACTTTAGGGGCCCTAGATCCTTTATCTTGAAGCTTGTGTTGAGCTGTTTCTTGACTTCTTGTATCTTTTCCAAATCAGCACTTGCAATTACTATGTCATCAACATACACAAGTAAAGCTACAAAGGAGGAGCATGCTCCTTCTGTGAACAAGGAGTTGTCAGGTATGGTTTGTTTGAACCCCAAGCTTTGTAGGACAGTGCTTAGTTTGGTGTTCCATTGCCTACTGGCTTGCTTCAGTCCATATAAGGATTTGTTTAGCTTGCACACCTGACCCTCTTTACCTTCTGTGAACCCAAGGGGTAGTTGCATATAGACCTCCTCATCTAAGTCCCCATTCAGGAAAGCATTATTTACATCCATTTGATGCAAATGCCACCCTTTTGCTGCTGCCACTGCTAGTAGGGTCCTGATGGTTGTCATTTTAGCCACAGGACTGAATGTGTCAATAAAGTCTATCCCAAGGGTTTGATTGTAGCCTTTAGCCACTAGTCTTGCCTTGTACCTGTCAATGGTGCCATCAGCTTTGTGTTTGATTTTATATACCCATTTGCAACCAATGGGCTTCTTGGAAGGGGGTAGACTGACCAATTCCCAAGTGTTATTCCCTTCAAGAGCTTTGAGTTCTTCTTCCATAGCTTGTATCCAACATTCATGCTGAACTGCTTCTTTGTAGTTCCTTGGTTCAACATGACTTGTGATGTTCATCACAAAGGATTGGAAGGATGGACCAAGGCTGCTGTAGTCCATGACTTTGTCCATGTCATGAGGAGAAGTTTTTGCAGTAATATTTTGACACACAAAATCCTGCAAATAGGCAGGAGCATGCCTTTGCCTTGTTGACTTCATGTTGCCTTGTTGGATATGACTTTCTGGTTGGGGAGGCACCAAAGTTGGAATAGACTGATCAGTGTTCTCATTTAAGGATGTATCTGTCATCTCAACTGGATCATTATTCAAGACAGCTGGGGTTGAGTGTAATTGATTCTCAGACTGAGGCAAGGTGCATGCATCAGCCACCTCTATTGGATCACCACTCAGGGTAGGTAGTATGATTTGGGGCATTGTTTTCTGCTGATCATTTTGATGAAAGGGAAATATATTCTCATAAAAGATGACATCCCTAGACAAAATAACTGTTTTGGAAGTAAGGTCAAGAAGTTTATAGCCTTTTGTTCCACTTGCATAACCAAGGAACACACATTTCTTGGCTCTAGGATCTAGCTTTGATTTTTGACCTAGTGTTGTGGCATAGGACAAGCAACCAAACACTTTCAGGTTCTGATATTGTGGGACTCTTTTGAGTAATATTTGGTAGGGGATTTGATTGTTTATAGCAGTTGAGGGGAGTCTGTTGATTATGTAGGCTGCATGGAGAATGCATTCTCCCCATAGACACTCAGGTGTGTTGGACTGAAACTTTAGTGCTCTGGCAGTGGACAGCAGGTGGCCATGCTTTCTCTCAACCCTGCTATTTTGCTGGGGTGTGTATGAACAAGAGGTCTGATGTATGATCCCCTTCTGACTATAGAGTTCCCTCATGTCAAACTCCTTGCCATTGTCTGATCTTATACACTTCACCCTGGCCTCAAACTGATTTTCTACCAAATTACAGAAATTTGTAAGTATGCTTCTGACTTCTAACTTTGCTTTCATCAAATATACCCATACTGCTCTGCTGTGATCATCTAGTATGGTGAGAAAGTAGTGGTGCCCATGTATTGTAGCCACTTTATAGGGTCCCCATATGTTAACATGCAACAAATCAAAGCAATTAGCAGCTATAGAAATACTGGATTGAAAAGACAATCACTTTTGTTTAGAAAAATGACAACAGTCACAAGCCATTTCTTTATTGATCTGAATCTCAGGTTCTATACTCTTCAAGAGCTGAATTTTAGCATGAGAGGCATGCCCTAATCTAGAGTGCCACAAAATACACTTGCTAGAAATTGAAGCAGTGTTACAAACAACTGTAGGAACTATAGGAAAAACTAAGTGATACAGTCCATTTTGCAGCTCAGCTCTTCCAATCATTCTGCCATGGATAGCATCTTGTATGATACATTGGTTAGTGTGTATTTCAATGGCACCTTTGGAATCCCTAATGAAGGATCCTATAGAGATCAGGTTATAATGGAAGCCAGGTACATATAATACATCATGTAAGATAAAGTCATTGGATAAGCATACTGTTCCAGTGCAGGCAATGGCAGCCTTCTGCCCATTTAGCAAATCAACATGAAGATTTTGAACTTTCTTTTGATTCTTTAACAGAATCAGATCAGACACAATGTGGTGAGTGGCACCACTGTCCACTATCCAATCAATTACACCATGTTTAACAGAATTGATTGAGGCTATACCTTCACTTTGCAGATCAGCAGCCACAGTGTTGATGGAGGCTTGTGGTGACTGATCAAGAGGTGAATTGCTGATGGACTTTTGCATCTGCATAAACTCCATGAACTTCTTGAAGTCATTTTGATTGAATGACACATTCTCATCACTATTATGCTGATGTGCCACAGAAGCTCCCTGTACTTGATTCACAGATTGGCTTCTTGATTTTGGCTTCCAACCAGGTGGGTATCCATGCTTTTTATAGCATTTATCTTGAGTGTGACCTGTGTAGCCACAGTATGTACACACAGGTTTCTTGTAAGGTGTTTGTGCCTTCTTATATCCTTGCTGGAAACCACCTTCACCCTTGTCTAAGAAGGCACTTCCATTGCTGTTGCTATTTTCACCAGCTTGACATAGCTGGTTTCTAAATCCAGTAGCCCCTATCTGGAATTGTCTTTCTTGCTGAGCAACCATTGAGTATGCTTCATTGACATCAGGTAAGGGTCTCATGAGGATGATCTGGTTTCTTGCCCCTGTGTACTTCTCATGCAACCCCATTAGAAAGATGGACAGTTTGTCCTTCTCAGCTTGCTCATTTACTTGATCCAGTTTCTTTCCACAAGCACACTTAACGGAACAAGTGCAGTGCATTGGAGGTCTAAGAATGACCAATTCATCCCACAACAATTTTTGTTTAGTAAAGTACTCATTCAGAGAATCATCACCCTGTTTAGTTTGATATATCTCACACATGATTTCAGCAATCCGGAATAGATCTTGTTGGCTAAATCTCCTCTTCAGATCTTCCCAAATGCCATATGCAGTGTCTATCCATAGAACACTGCGTCCAATGGTTGGAGACAAGGAACGAACTAACCAAGTGCAGACAATATTATTACATCTTTCCCAGACATAATACTTCTCCAGATCGTCCTGAGAAGGTTTCTTGATAGCCCCATTAATGAAGGGTACTTTGTTCTTGCAGGATAGAGCCATGGTCATGGCTCTAGCCCACGCATGGTAATTTGATCCATCCAAAGGGAACGAAACGAGTTCCAAGCTTGGATTCTCGTTTACATGCAGATAGTAGGGATTAGACTGAGTTAAGGGTTCATAGACTACCTCATGTCTATCCAATCTGCTGACAGGTGTTGATGGTGGCAATGTCGAAGAACCTGCTGCGTTTCCAGTGTGATTCGCTACGGAATTGGCTGGTGCAGTTTGTCCGTTGATTAGGGGCCAAGCTGTTGTCAAAGCCATCATCACACTCGCTGCAATCTCTCACTTTGAGTGCTCTGATACCATTTTAGAGAAAGAGAGATTGTAGAAGAAGAAGGAAGATTACTGTTTCATTAGTCAATGAGAGAAGCAGATTACAAGCATTTATACACAGAGCTATAACCACCCTTAACTATCAACTGCTAGCTATTCCTAACAGCCTCTAACAACTAACTGCTACTAACTGTATGATGCAACAGAAAGAAAGGAAAGGAAGCAGAGAACAGATGGTAACATATGGTAACTGTGAGATCAATTATCTTGACTTCCTGATAGAGAACACTCTTTGACATCATCTTTAGCTTTAAACCAACATCTATACCGAAAGATCTCTATTGTAATTATGTTTACTCGGACCTTCTATATCAACTGAATTATACCATAAACAAGTACAGATAACTACTCTAATGGACAAATGATGTCCTAAACATATTTTTGCCAAAGAATTAAGGCAACAACTAATAATATTTAAGCCAAGCATCTTGTGCTCAATTGGCACTTTTGTGATTTTCCTTGAGAGGATGTCATATGATTGAGTCTCTGGTGGTGTATTTACTCTTTGGGTAGCAACAGATGAAAAAAGTATATTGCACAGATAAAAAATTATACTCAAGTATGACATTAACATTTTACACTTTATTTTCCTCTAAATAGTTAATTAACACAGTTAAATAACACCATTAAATATAATAACTTGTGTTTTGTGCCATTAAATATAATAACTTGTGTATTGTTCTTCCTTTAAAAAAAAAAAAAAAAGGCTCAAGTGTCAAATCGCACCATGAACCAATTGTGATATGTCATGCCGCACCCTAATCTTATATAAGTGATTATTCGATTCACAAACTAAAAATTTTTGTCCGCCTAGCATTTTTTACAGGTTTCCCTGTTACTTTGATGACATGGAGCCGGTGGACTTATTTTATTTACTTGGTCAAATAAACTGATGAGCTGTCTTCTTTTCCTCCTTATCTTCTTTCAACCCTTATCGTCGACTTACCAGAGCTTCAGCTTCAACATGGTGACTCCCTGATTTGCGAATGATTTCTCAATTTTCGCCAAAAAGAAATCAACAATCATTTCATTCTTCTTCCAAATTTGGTTCTGAATTCTTTGTATTTTTCTTGGATATTATGCTTTAATTTCTGTGATTAATGGGAAATTATTATGCTTTCTTCTCCCAAATTCTAATGCTTTCTTGCAGCGATTACTTAGAGGGCGTTTGGTTGAAACATGGGAATCTGAATCGGGATGGGATTTTAGCGAAGTAGCTTGTTTGTATGCGATTGAGATGGACCGAACCCGTATCTTGGCGGGGCGGCCCAGTTGTTCGCAGCAGGTCGGCAGTCCGGGTGGAAGGCAGCAGCGGCGACCGGTTGCGGTGGCGGGGTGCTCGACTCCATGGTTTCTCTCCTCATCAACGGCAGCAGCTGGAAGCAGAGCACGGTTTGGCAACATGTCTCAACACCCGGGAATGCATCCTTGTTCGACAACCACTCCAGTTCTTCCTCCATATCTTCAGGGAAGTCATTAGGGTTAATGGATTTTGATGACCCCAAGGAAGACGAAACAACAGGTGAAGTGCCAATGGCGGCGGCGGCCTGGTTCGCGTCCTTCTCGCCTTCACCCTCGTCCAAGTTAAAGTTCAGAAGGTATTTTACCAGATAAAGCTAGTTCCTGGTTGAACTGCTCTGACATCTGACTAAAAGAAAGAGCATCGGAGCGAAACCGGGTGTGTTCGCCCTTATCGCACTTGATGGAGGTGGAGACGCTAGGGACTACAACGCCAGCCGGCAGAACCAAGTCTCTGGTGGAGCTGCGTTGAATTTTTGCATTTTCTATTATATTTCCAAATTCCGTCTCAGCAATCACTGATCTCTCTGTAATATTTTGTGTATTTCTCGCCTATATTTTGTTAAAGGCTTTGGAGATAAATCGTTGTGTCTGATTGCATATGATTTTGAACATTCAGATTGATTTATGAAGTTTTTCTGGAATTTCCAGAATCCGGCGACACTTCGATCGCCGGAACGCCGCCTGTCGCCGGTCACAACGCGGATGGCTGGAAATTCAAATTTTGGGTTATTCAATTAAACTGATGAAATGACTGCCACATCTATTGAAATGGCTGACACATCTACAAAACAAAACACATGTCTGCCAAATCACCTCCACATCACCAATTTATTACCTTTAACCTGAAGGTTACCTGTAAAAAATGCTAGGCGGACAAAAATTTTTAGTTTGTGAATCGAATAATCACTTATATAAGATCAGGGTGCGGCATGACATATCGCAATTGGTTCATGGTGCGATTTGACACTTGAGCCAAAAAAAAACTCATAATTCTTTATAATGAATCATCGAAATTCAATCTTGTGACTACTCATAACAGAAGTATTATTACACTACATAATAGTTGACACACATACAAATTATTTCTAATTTTACATTTTTTTAAATAATATATTAATCATTTCTATAGTCCTTATCTCTATTTGACTTCCTTATCTTTAATGAAAATAGTTAATCTGTTGGCATCATCAATGAATATATAGTGATAATTTTAAATGTCTAAGATTTTTAGTTAAACTACCATCACACGCCCACAACATACGAATACAAATTTTGGCCTATTCTAATAATTAATGTTGTTGCTGTTGCTTCAGCAGATCAGATAGATCATAGAATAGTCGTCTACTACTACTACTAGTACCATGTATAACCGCCTTAGAAATTATAATTTTTTACACCATAATAATAAAAATAATAATCAGTCATTTTCCAGTCACTGTAGCTTTTTCTTCTACACCTTTCGTTCAGTCCTCCATATATGCTAAATTCCAACTTGACTTTTGTTTCTGCTAAATCCATTAATTCATTCATTAATCCTCTCCATCCATCCATCCTTTCTCTTCCATTTTATCCCAATCTTATTCTGTTTCTTTAATGGGTTGGTCTTGTAAACTCTTCAGATAGACTCAACTGATTGATTGATTGAAGAGCTCATTTCAAGTTCGATACATATAGCCATGGTAATTTTTTTCACTTGATTAGCTTTTGGGTGTGTGTATATATGTTGTGAATGATGTTTTTGTTGTGGGTTTGGAGGGGCAGGTGAGTCCATTGGTGGGGATGGTGAAGGGGAAGGGGAAAGATGATCTTGAATTGGGGCCGCCATGGTTGAAACCAATGTTGAAGGCGAATTATTTCTCGAGCTGTGAGGTTCATGGCGATGCTAATAAGAGCGAGTGTAACCTCTACTGCTTGGATTGCATGGGAGATGCTTTTTGCTCTTACTGTTTGGTTTCGCACAGAGACCACCGGGTTGTTCAGGTGACTATGTCTATTGTTTAAGTATTGGAGTGATTGAGATTCGAATTTAAGTTAAATCGGTTAGTTAGTTATTGTTATGATGTGTGTTCGAAATGTGTAGATACGGCGATCTTCGTACCACAATGTGGTGAGGTTGAATGAGATCCAAAGGTACATAGACATTTCTTGTATTCAGACTTATGTTATCAACAGTGCCAAGATATTGTTCCTGAACGAAAGGCCCCAACCTCGGCCCGGCAAAGGAGTCACCAATACTTGCCAAATCTGCGGCCGCAGCCTCGTTGATACTTTCCGTTTCTGTTCCATTGGTTGTAAGGTTGGTCCGACTCTGTTCAATTCTTAATTAATTATGCCATATATAAGTACTAATTGAGAAAAAGTTTGATAAGATTAGTTTGGTGTGATTTGTGGTTAATAATATTATCAAAAATGTGTGGCTATTGGAGATAGATCCCTTCTGTCTAAGTTAAGACAGAGATCGTCTGAAAGACGGTTTGATTGACTCGCAATTTATCTATTTCAAACTCTTAAAATTAATAATGTATTGAAAATCTCATCTGTTTGTTATGATTAATAGCTTAATGCAATGAAACGGGGCGACCAGGAGCTGACATTCACTCTGAGGACGAAACAGATGAACCGCGATGGATTTTCAGGCTCGGAGTTATCTGATGAATCTTCGACACCAAAGAAGAACCGCAGAGATTACAGTATATTCAATCAAATTCGGGCACTCTCCTACAAGCCAGGAGATGAGATCGTCACTAACATCATCTCCCCGGCTACTCCGCCCATCTTCAACCACCACAATTCCCGGAGGAGAAAAGGCATTCCTCACCGGGCTCCCTTCTGATATGTCACACCCAGGCCAGTGGCAATTATAGATGCATAATGTATATAATTTGCGTTTGGGGTTCAGATGCTGCAGTTAAATGTCATAATCACCCAAGTCGTGAAGAATATTTCATATACCCATATATTGTAGAAAGTTAGATATGATGAAAGAAAAGATACAGTAAAGTAAAAAAGATAAAAATAAAAATGTGTATATACATACATTTCAATTATACTCTAGATTAGGTTATAGAATACCCAATGCCGCTTTCCTGGCTTTTAAGTTGTTTAATTTGCAGGTTTTAGTGATATCCTTTGCTTTGAACCTTATATGTAAAGTTACTATTGCCTCATCATGGTATATATATATGCTGTCTATTATTATTATTATTATTATTATTATTATTATTATTATTATTATTATTATCAAAATTACTATTTACCCTTCTTTAATCAAAATTTTAATATCTATTTAAAAAAAAAAAAAAAAAAAAAAAAAAAAAAAAAAAGAAACTCTTCTCCTATTCGTTCTTTACCTGAAGAATTCATAGCTAATTTTACTAAACACCTTAATGGATGCTAAATCATAAATGTTATATATATTTAAACTTTAAATTATAATTTATCACCATTTAAATTCGAATTTATAAAATGTTTTTTTTAATGTATTTTTATACTTATATCCTCTTTTTTAAGAGTTAATTTTACTATACAGTTTAGTTTTAATCATATAATTTATTAACTACTAACTTTTTAATTGAGTGTGCCAAACAGAACTTAATAGACAATTAAGTAATTATGATTTATCAATTTATTATCTTATAGAGGTTTGGGGGATGAGGAAAAAAACACAAATTATTATCCTTTGTTATACTATTTTTTTTAAATAGTTATTTTTTAAAAAATAGTTTAATGGGATTCGATAGTCTTACAGTTTTCATTTTTAGCAATGAAATTGTAGAGTTAAAAGTAGAACTCCTCCAACTGTCATTGATTTTTTTAATCCTTCATTCATTAATTGAGTAAAAGGAAAAAATGGTATAGTATATTTTAACATGAAAATAGTGGATAGTGACGTCAAGAAATACTATTAAAATAAAAATATGTATAATAAAGTAAGTACATAATTGGGAATTGACATCTATGTTATCCATACGTGGAAGATGAGAGCCGTGGGGAATCTGTAAGCTAGCTACCTAGTCCACGTACGTTGCCCTCACTAGTCACTACCATTTCTGGCTTTCCCCTCTCACAATTTTCTCTTTTTAAATTTCCCCTAAATTGTAAAGGAGTTATATATATTTTGAAACCAGAAGTTATATTACATACCCTCTCATTTTTACTTTTTATTTTATTTGTTGATATAGTAAATGATGATATGTTATCTTCATTTTATAAGTCTTAAATTAGGTCATTTATATTAGTAATTTTTAGACTAGATTTTGAGAAAACTTTAGTAAGGTGGAGGAGAAATAAATGGTAGAGATCCTTTAGAGCATTCATAATAGTGCGTTTTTTTTTTTTAAAGGAGTTTTTGTAAAATGAAAAAAATAATAAAATGAATCTGTTTTTTTTTTTTGAAAAAAAAAAAGAAGAAAATGTTAGACGCTCGCGTCAGTGCACGCACTCGCTGGGCGTGCTTGTGGAAGCCACGCGGCGCGACTGGATCACTTTTTCAATGGGTCTCACAAATTCTACAAAAAAATCCATCCTCGCAGAGAAACCCTAATCTTCTCTCTCATGCTTTATCTCTCCTCCATCTCACCATGTATTGTTCTAAAATCTACCAAAAAATCTTTGATATGGATACTCTTATGCAAGGATGAGGTTTTTTCAGAAAATCTGGAACCCACTGCCTTCTCAGGTCATTCGCGCGCTTCTCGCGTGAAGGCTACAATGGCCGCGTTAATGGCGTTGTTTTACTTTTTTTTTTCTTTTTCTTTTTTGCTATCATCTCCTCTTTCCTAATTACACTTACAAAAACTAATCAAAAATCACAAATAAATAAATAAATAAATAAATAAAACCCACTATTGAAGATACCCTAAAATGTTAACATCAACATTTTGAATGAAAAAATAAAAATAGAAAATATAATTTGTGAACTCAAGTAAAAGTAGGAAATAGAATTTCTGAGTTCAAATAGTATTTTTCTTTGTAAAGCTTTAGCAAACTTCATTTTACTTTATTCTATTTTTTTTTTTTTTTATCACAGGTTTTTCAGTTAGAGTATAATAAGGTCTAGCATTGTATTATTAACTTTTTTATTTAAGTCAGGTAACTATGAACAATCTATGATTGTTTATCTTAATGTAGGGGTGTAAACGAGCCGAGCCGAGCCCGAGCCTGGGTATGCTCATGCTCGTGCTCGTTAATGATAGCACTGCTCGAGCTCGAGCTCGAGCTCGTGAACTGATGCTCGAACTCGAGCTCGGCAATTGTCGAGCTGCTCGAGCTCGAATTTGAGCCTCAACTCGAGCTCGAATTTAGGCTCGAATTCGAGATCGAGTTTAGGCTTGAATTTGAGCTCAATTTTGATCTCGAATTTGACCTGTTTGATTTAAAATTTAAACTACTTTGTTTATGACTTTTATCCCTACATAATTATTAAAGTATTTTAATTTCCCTCCCCCTAATTATTATTTTTATATACTAAATATAATATAATTATATTATATATTATATATTATATATTATATTATAAAGCTCGCGAGCGGCTCGTCGAGCCGCGAGCCTACAATACCTAAGCTCGGCTCGTACTCGTTTAATCCACGAGCTGCTCGAGCTCGAACCGAGCTCGATTTTGACCGAGTTCGAGCCGAGCGTTGACCGAACCGCTCACGAGCGGCTCGGCTCATTTACACCCCTATCTTAATGTAGTCTTTTACTGATTAAGATTACAATTCAAGATTTATCCAGTATACCTTCTCAAGTAAAGAGTAATAACTGTAAATTTTTTTATCACTCAATAAATTTTTTAAAATCAAAAAATAAAATAAAACTTTTATTATATAAAAGTTTTTAATATTTTAATTACATTTACTCTTTGGTTTAATAGTGTGGAGAGGATAAAACCAGGTCTGCCATTATTAGGCATATAATCGCCACTCGCCACTACCATACTTTTTGAGTGGACACGTTTCAATTCGGTTTCTTCTTTCGGTGCCACAACACTCCACGTTGAGTGCAAATTTATTTATCAGCTCTTATACTGATGCAATAATAATAATAATAATAATAATAATAATAATAATTATTATTATTATTATTATTATTATAATAATAATAATAATAATAATAATAATAATAATAATAATAATAATAATAATAATAATAATAATAATAATAATAATAGAGACGTCATTTTTGTCTGAGTAAGTATGGAATTTAGGCGGTCGCTTTATATAGCATCGTTTCGTACGTTTGCAGGGAAAACGACATGTTCACTGCTCCATCTGGAATATATACTCAATAATAGTGTATTTCCGTGTATCAAAATTAGCTTTTTGTTTTGTTTTTTTTTTTTTTAAAAAGGAGAAGAAGAAATTAAGGCCATATTTAGGCAAAAAGTTGTTGGAAGTATGATATTTTTAAAGGGCGTTTGGTACTTTATTACTAATTAAATTTTTTAAATATATTTTAAGTAATATATTTGATGAGAATAATTTTTTACAAAAAATTAATTAATATGTTTGGTGTTACCTAGAAAATACAAGAATTAAATTACTTAAATAATTAAAATATTTGGTTCATTAAACTTTCATAGGAATTTTTTAAAAATTCTTAATATTTCCTTATTGTTTATCAGACTGAATTTATATATATATATATATATATATATATATATATATATATATATATATAAAATTTATTAATTTACAAGTGATTTATTAAACTCTCAATTATGTATTATGCTTTTTAAATTATTATTGTATGAAATAATATGAATGTAAAAAAAGTTGATAGAGACAAAATTGTTTGATAAACAGTGTTGTAATCTTTTCATAATGGTTGAAAGGACAAATTTCTTATATTTATAAAAGGCTCTTCACCTTACGCCAAAAATGATAAATATGTAATTGAATAAATTTGGTAGATTCTTAGTTATTCGGAAAAAAGAATCCTACCTTCCATATGTGAGATTTTTTTTTGAAAGTTACTGACTCTATTACATTGTAGTAATATCTATTCTATCTGTTCATACATACTGCACAAATAGTATCTATTCTATCCGTTCATACATACTTTCTTAACATGTTGAAGCACAAAACCTGTTGAAGCACAAAGAGGTCAACAATGCCTCAGTGGATGCCGATCTCATGACCTCTCATATGGGAGAGGTCATTACATGCCATATGAGCACAAGGTGCTTGGCCCCGTATGTGAGATTTACTTTTCATATAAGTAATAAATATTTTATACCTGATTTAGTATTACATTTGCTAGTGTAAGCATTACATTTCATCTTGATTCAATCTGTATTTTGGATAAGAATTCGATCCGTGAGATGGTCTCACACAAGATTTTGCCAAATTTATGTGTATTATACTCCACTTATCACACTATTGTATTTCCTTTTTTTTTTTTTTCCTTTTTCTTGTCTCATCAATTTTATTTTTTATGAAAACGTTGTCTTTATGTACATAATTCAATTTTCTTAGCTTGACACAAATTTCAAATTTTTTATTAGAGTTAATTACTGATTTGGTCCCTCGACTATGAAGATTTCACCATTTTGGTCCTTGACTTTTAAAATTGTCAAAATGCGTCCTCGACTATGAAACGTTACACAAAATGATCCTCAGTCTGTTTTACCGTCAAAATGCAAGGGTAAAATTGAAAGTTCCAATATTCTTCATATTCCCTAACATGCCTCTATATACCTAGGTCTTCAGAATACTTATTTCCTTCAAATCAGGCCTTCATCTCCTTCGAATTTTACCTCTCTTCATCTTACATATTTCTCTTGTATCTACTATGGAAGCAAACTACAGTGAAGATAGCTATGTGTCATCTACGAAAAAAAAAACGGTGTTCGAAAATGGAGAATCTTCAACAAGACGTAGTTGTCAGTGTGGGCAACAACTGAAGATATGCACTTCATGGACAAAAGACAATCCAGGCTGTAGGTTTTGGTTGTGTGAACCCGAAAATGTGAGTATTTGTATTGCTTAGAATCCAATTTGATAAGTTGATAAAAAAATTCGGTTATAGGGAGGAATAAGTGGTGAATGTGGATTTGTTCGTTGGTTTGACCCCCCAATGTGTCCAAGGTCAAAGGTGATAATCCCTGGATTGATAAGGAAGATAAATCGATATGAGTAAGAAATTGAGAGCTTAAATTTGAAGTCAATGGCAAGCAGATGTGTTGCAGTG